CAAAAAAAAAAAAAAAAAAAAATTAAGAAATGTAAACTCTCCACAGCTGAAAACACGTGAATCCCTTCCAGCAACACCCATAGCCAAGCAAGTTGAAACTTGGATGGGTGAATCAGAAAGGGCACTGTCAATTATGTTTCTTTGAAGTAAAATAATGGGCCATAACACAGCTTGTCTCAAAACTTTCATAGTGACCCACATATATATGTATCATATACATGTATTTCTTAGATTTGTTAGCTGGTAGTGCCTACAAGTAGGCTTCCTCCAGCAACACGTGCATCCCTGTCTCCCACATCTTTATATTAAAAGTTTAAATACAGTTTTCCACTGAAAGAAATCAGAGCTTCTTCGAGAAATTCTAGAATTGGAGTTGGGAAGCTACAAAATAAACCTTGAATGCCTTGCTCTTCTAGAAAGCAAAGAAAGGCCTGAATTTTGGAGACATGTTAAAAGGATGCAGGATCCTACCTAAAGGGGATTCCAGTGACCAAATCTAGGTCCACTTAAGTATAAAAATAAATAATGGTAGGAACAAAGTATAACATATGAATAAAATTAGAAGCCAGGCTCAGCGCTTGTGGTTCAAGCGGCTAAGGCACCAGCCACATACACCTGAGCTTGCAGGTTCAAATCCAGCCCGGGCCCACCAAACAACAATGACAGCTGCAACAAAAAGATAGCCTGGTGTTGTGATGGGTGCCGCTACTTGGGAGGTGGAGGCAGGAGAATCGCTTGAGCCCAGGATTTAAAGGTTGCTGTGAGATGTGATGTCACAGCACGCTACCCAGGGCAACAGCTTAAGACTCTGTTTCAAAAAAAAAAAAAAAATTAGAAGCCATATCATAAATGAATGAATGAAGAAATAGATGGGAAGAAGGGAGTATTTTTCCTTGTAGTTCTATGTCATGTAAAAATATGGAAGGAATGATAGAATCCTGAAGTTACCCTTTGGTAACTACCATAGCAATTAGTTTTTCAGACAAGAATGATAAAAGTATAATATTGGCCAGGCACAATGGCTTATGCCTAGCAGTTTGGGAAATTGAAATGGGAGAATCACTTGTGAGGCCAGGAGTTTGAGATTAGCCTGGGCAGCATAGCGGAACCCTGTTTCTACAAAAAAATTGAAAAAATTAGGGTGAGGTGGCATGTGCCTGTAGTCCCAGCTACTTTAGAGGCTGAGACAAGAGGATCACTTGAGCCCAGGAGTTTGAGCTTGCTGTGAGCTGTGCTTGTACCACTGGACTCCAGCCTGTGCAACAGAGCAAGAACCATCTCAACTAAATAAAATGAAACATAAGTAAAAAGTACAATATGAATGTATCAAAGTTTGGTGAGAAGGAAGCTAACTAAACAATCTTGAAGAATTTGCCGACAGATATTAACTAATTATAAAGGGGAACATAATGAGCGTAACCTAAAGGTAGTTGGCAGACACTGTCATACTCGTGACATCATGTGCTTCCTGGTGTTTACAAGCTTGGTTTTTAAAGCAAGTCTTTTTATTTAATCTGTATATTCCTATGTTTTAGAGAAATCAGCGAAGTCAAGTCTTTAATTTGAACCTGATAGTGAAACATGTAAATAGCCAAGCAAACACTCTTTTTTCTTTAGGTGAGCGCTCCAGTTGTAACATCTACCACTCAGGAAAAGCCAAAGGATAGCGATCAGTTTGAGTGGGTGACAATTGAACAGTCAGGGGAATTAGTTTATGAAGCACCAGAAACAATTGCAGCTGAACCTCCACCCATCAAGTCAGCGGTGCAGACCATGTCTCCCATACCTGCTCACTCTCTGGCTGCGTTTGGATTATTTCTTCGTCTTCCGGGATATGCCGAAGTGCTACTCAAAGAGAGAAAACATGCCCAGTGCCTTCTTCGATTGGTATTGGGAGTGACAGATGATGGAGAAGGAAGTAAGTGTTTAGTGTTACTAATTCTTCCACATATATGTATGTAGGTTGCATAAAGTTGTCCAGATCATTGCCTGTTATTCATCGCTTATTTCTTTCATAATTAAGCTATTTAGGTGAATTGTTGTTGGCAGCTCAGTTCCGGTATTAGACCTAATAAAACCTAAAGAACCTTCATTTTCACTTTTGTATTCATTCGTAAAGTATTTACTGAATGCTTACAAAACTACTGGGCATCAGTATAGGAATTTAAACTTGAAGCAAGTATTTAAATCAAGTAGCTAATGTTCTCCAGTAATAGCTACGAGGACATAGCAAGTTATAAAAAACATGGTATACACTTGAGTACTGTGTTTTGGAGGCTTCCAGGTGTGAGATCATTTCTTTATTACCCAGCAGTGTGAAATCAGTGTCATAGTAGTTTTTGGTATGGCTTCGTAAAATAGATTAGATTTAGGTTGGGATGAGTTATTTCATAAAGAATGATGTGAGCAGTGTTTGGAAATTCAGAATATTTGAGAAGGGGGGTAAGTTAGAGGGTGAAAATTTGCATAAAAGCACTAAGCTTATTTTAGAAAAACTGAAATTAGTAACATCATGGAAAGGCCTCTTAAGAACATTGGATTTGATTTTGAAAGCAATGAAGATTTTTAAAAATGTGTTGTGCAAGTTAATGATGTGATGAGAATAGTTTTTTAGGAAAGTCAGTGTGGTAATATATAATGTTCCTAGCACTCTGGGAGGCTGAGGTGGGTGGATTGCCTGAGCTTAGGAGTTCTGAGACTAGACTCTGCTAGAATGAGACCTCATTTCTAAAAATAGCCACGGTTTGTGGTGGGCACCTGTAGTCCCAGCTATTTGAGGAGGCTAAAAGAGCCGGCGAGATTGAGGTTGCTGTGAGCTGTGATTCCATGGCACTCTACTGCAGGCAACATAGTAAAACTCTTTTGGGGAGTGTGTGTGTGTGTATGTAGTAATATTAAAATATATGTAGTAATATTAAAGAATAATAGAAAGCTATCACAGTTATTTCTATTGGGTTGGTATTGTTATTTAATAGAAGGTAAGAAAGAGAAATCATAGTTAGACCAGCTTACAATTAAATGTTCATTTGGTTTACATCTTCTTTCTTGTTCACTCAATGACCATACTATGAATATTATTAAGAGAATTAATTACTATTTTTAAACCTCATGGTTTTCATTAGAATTTTTTTTTTCACATGGCATTTAGAAAGAATAAACTGTTAAACCCTGTACCAGAAAATACATTTAATCTAAAAAACTGTATAAATTTATTTGTGAATCTTAAAACTATGAAACTATTAAATATTCCAAGTACATAGAATTTTCATAATAATGGAATCCTTCATAAATGTTGACATTATTTTTAAAATACTCTTGCACTAATTGTTACTAAATTACAGGTTCTCCTTACTACCCGTACATAGTCTTGGTTGTTCAATTCATGTATAAATTGTACTTATAGTCACCTCTGAGTTTACATGGGGGATTGGTTCTAGGTCCACTTGCATATACCAAAATGTGGAACCATTTATATGAACAATCAGCCTTCTGTGTATGTGGGCTTCATATCCCACAAGTGCTGTGTTGCCCATCATGTTTGGTTGAAAAAAAGAATCACATATGCGGACCCACATAGATCCTTGTCGTTCAAGGATCAACTATATTTCATTTACTAGATCAGGAATCTATTCATCAGATCTGGCTTTTTTTTTTTTTTTTTTTTTGGAGACAGAGCCTCAAGCTGTCCCCCTGGGTAGAGTGCCGTGGCATTACAGCTCACAGCAACCTC